CTTTTGCTATCGGTCCATTACTGCGCGCCTGTAAAGGAGATGGGACTCATAATTAGATCAAAATTGGCTCTCAACTACTTTTGCAATTGGCACACAGGAATTTTCAATCCAGTTATTGTCACATATTTTGGAGTCAATATGGATGGACTCATAAATCATTATTTCTACTTATGAAACTCATTTATGACTCATGTGACTAGCAATTCAAAAATTAACAAAGAAAATGGTGTAACAGGAGCCACATAAAAGGCCAAAACATGGAGTTCTTTGGACGGTCACCGAATTCAAGCTCTGGGAAGTTTTTTTTTTTTTTGGTTATTTAAAGCAATGCCCTTTTTCCATGGCCACATGTTTTGTAAGTCCAAATCAATTCATTTTTCAAAATCTCCAGATTCCAAGTTCACATGTCAATAATTTGGAAGGACATCTACTTTTAGGGGAACCCCTTTTTTTTTCTGTTGGTGAACAACATCGGTTTGGATTCACCCCAAGGCATCAGAAACATGGAATTGAGAGATAAACGCCAAGTAGGCTTCAGGTCGCTTCAGTGTTTTGTCCCTTTTGTGACTCAGCTGCAAAAGAAAATAAAAGGGTATGTCGTCCCTTTTAACTGTATCAGCATTGGCGCTGCCTTTGTATGTGGCAGTCCACCGAGTGGAAAGGCTTGGACTGGGGATGGGGGGGTCCATTGAGCCTTATCCCCACACTGATTCAAGGCTCCTCTTTGTATCATAAAGTAGTTCAATTCCCATGAATTTTTGAATCTAGTAAAGTTGACACTTGACATTGCACCACAATCACCAAAAGGGAAAGGTATATGTTTGGTTCACATTAAATGTTTTTATCTCCTACTTTATTGAGGATTGTAAAGTAAAATCTCTTGCTTTTCGTGTTACTTTGAGGAAGCTTCCTGTCAAAACTTAGGTAGATTACATGGTTGTTATGGTTTAACTGATCTCAAGATATAAAATGGTGTGCAGCTCTGGTTAGCCCTAGTTAGTTTATTATTACTACTGCTAGCTTTCAGAATGGGTGTTTCTAATTTTGCAGGAGTTTAGAAACAACAAAGTGTAGTCTACCTAAGAGCCTGAGCAGTAATTGCTGTACTGTTTTGAAGTCGAACCATTTAAAAAATTGGGCTGCAAAGATTTTTTAAATTAAAAGAACATTTGAATAGGAAGAAGGCGCCGACGAGCAGAAATGGCCAACTTTTCTAGTGACATGAGCATGTGAACTCTACCCCATTTTTTTGACTAGGGGAAAGCTGAATAGTCACATATATGCAAGACAATAGCATGCTCTTCTCTTTCCAATAATTAGATAACTACTTCAAGCAAAACAAATATAAAAATAGAGAGCTTAGACCTTTATGGCCTTTGCTTGACAGTTATACCAGACTCAATCACATGTCAAACGGTAGAAAACAATAGTACTCAGAAACTGAATTCAGTATGTTGCATATATATGCACCATAGACGCAACTCATCTCAGGACCATCTTCATTTGTTTCTAAAATTTCACTTTACCTTCGCCAGAAATAAATACTTTTAGTGACAGGGAAAGACATTTTTCATATGGGATCTTATGGAAAGCTTGCGACTCGTGTTCTTGACACTGATGTTCCAGTCATGGTGGAGGTATTTGACACGTAGAGAGTTTAAACTGATGAGTTCAACAACTACTGAAGAAAAGAAGATGAACATAACAGGATAAAAGCCTTTTATATCTGCTTTTTTTGTTTTTATGATCAGTACATACTGATTATATACCACAACTAACAAAGTGTTGTTTGCAGATGCTGGAGTTAACTAAAGGAGCTACAGATCCTATTCCGCTAGGGAAGGTATATTTTGCCTCTTGTTCCATTTTCCCTCTGATTAATGTACGTGAAAAGGACAAGGATTTTTATGCCATACTCTGGGATCATGATTCATTCATGAATGGAATGTACAATGTTATAGGGAGCAGTATACTGGCAGCCACCTGAGCAGGCTCTTGAGAAGGTTAAGCAAATAGCATGGGAGCCTTCAACTAGCAATTATGGCACTCATGAAGGTCTTCCAGAGCTTAAGGATGCATTGACAAAGAAGGTACACATTTCTAGATATGCTCATAAAAATTTTTAATGTTCATAATTTTTCATATTAATCATTTATATATGATGGAAAAGAAGATTCACTCGGTGCGTAGTCCCTGAATATGACATAATAATCTTTAATGACTTGATAGTGCAAAGTACTTAATAAGATCGTTGTTTAATGTTGTTTTCAGTGTAGATAAATTTATACTTCCCTTCTATCAAAAACTTTTGTGCCTGCAGTTGTGCCAGGAGAACAAATTATGCAACTCCTCAGTCATGGTTACTGCAGGTTCAAATCAGGTAATTACTTTTTCTATCAACATGCGAAAGCAAAAGAAGAAAAACCCTGTCCTATAGCCACATTAATGCACAAAATACTACTGAAGGTCAGAACTGAAGTCTAAATTTTACCATGAAGACAAAATATGAAAGAAAGTACAAGGACAACATGTACTGAACAGTCCAAACAAAACTCTTGATATGCCACTTTAATTTGCATATTATAAACTCTTTTGACCTAACTTTAACAATCATAATCATGTAATCGTAATGAAAAAATTATTCATCAAGTGCTATTGTTTTGAAATCATAACAGCAATGTACTGTCTTTAGGACTGTCTTAGCATGTTAATTTCAATGTTTGGTTGTTCTCTTCCGTCTCTCACTCTAGACTGCTTCCTGAAATTTCTGAGGATTCTTCATTATTAGGGATTTTTAAATCTGGTGCTTACACTATGTGACGTTACGGACTCTGTGGTACTATTTGCGCCATACTTCTTCAATGCACACATGTCATTCCGGATGACTGGCATCACTAACATACTAGTTGGTCCCAGTAATCCCAAAACACTTCAGCCAGATGCAGGTTTGTAAGCCTGCATTACTCATATTTAATGCTATTAGTTTTCTAGAGTGCCTTTTCCAATATGAATATCATAAACTTGAGTTCACCTACCTTTTGCATGTCTTTTCATCATAAAACAGAAAGGAAGAAAAACAAAAGGGGGCCGGCTTCTGTCAGCAAACATTTCTTGTATAGTACTACTGAGTAGAAATGTGTTAACAATCTCTTGCAGATTGGTTGGAGAGAATTCTTTCTGAAACTAAACCAACCCCAAAGCTTGTCTCTATTGTCAATCCAGGAAATCCATCAGGAAACTGTATTCCAGAACCTCTTCTCAAGGTCTCTTTCTCTCTCTCACACACACGTGCACACACTGCACATAGTTACTGTGTCAATGAGAAGTATTCAATTTTCATTTATCCACTCCCATGAACTTTCTTAATTGCTTTTCTTGTTTCTACTAGAGAATTTCGGACATATGTAAAAAGGCTGGCTCTTGGCTTGTAGTGGATAATGCATACGAGTAAGTGCCTAACTTAATGTTACTAAAATGGTGTATATCCCAAGCCTCGATATACTAAAATGTTAACAAGCAAGCTCCTCATCATACACCCAGTAGATTCTCTAAAGACAAAATAATACAAAGAAAGTACTTGATTTTGAGCTAATTGATATGATGAATATGTTAACTAGTCTGATAAGTTTCCAACAGATTGAACCTGCCATAATTCTGGAATCAATATGAATAACCTCAACTCCTAATTCCACTCTGTCATTCTGTGATTTGATTTTAATGACTGACTAGTTTTCTCACTTATGTTTTCAGGTACTTTATATATGGAAGTTCAAAGCACTCTTGTGTTGAGGGAAACCATGTTATCAATCTATTTTCTTTCTCAAAAGCATACGGAATGATGGGGTGGCGAGTTGGATATGTAAGTAGAGTTTCAGCCATCAGTAGCCTATCTATTTATAACAATAAGCTAAGTGATTTTTATTGCAAAAAGAATGAAAACATATGCTACCTGGTTACGTTATTCCATGGAGCCACAAATTATAAATATTGTCTGATTTAAAGTAGACACCATGGCAGCTATTTTTATCGTGTGATACTAGGCTGGGTTACTTTCAAGCATTATTAGAGAAATAAGTTATGGCATAGAGAGTGTATCTGATTCTGATAGAATATTCTGGTTAAATGTTGAGAAAGTAGGCTAACAGTACTTTGTTGCATTCAGATAGCATATCCGTCAGAGGCAGAGGATCTTCGTATTCAGTTACTTAAAGTTCAGGATAATGTGGCAATCTGCGCTCCAATGATCTCACAGCATGTTGCTCTTTATTGCTTAGATGCCGGGCATGAGTGGGTCAAAAACAAAGTTAAAACACTTGCCAAAAACAAGGAACTTATCATGAAGGCTCTTTCTCCACTAGGGGAAGATGCAGTGATTGGTGGAGAAGGAGCAATCTACCTATGGGTAAAACTCCCAGAAAGATATCCCAATGACTATGAAGTTGTTAGCTGGCTTGCACGAAAATATGGAGTGGTGGTGCTTCCAGGCAGTGCATGTGGTGTAAATGGGTGCATTCGAATCACATATGGTGCAGTGATTGAAGAAAAATGTGATATTGCTGCAAAGAGACTAAGGAATGGGCTGGAAGAACTTGTGACATATGGCATGGTGGAGTAGCGATTCTGTTCAGAAAGCTCTAAACAGAAGGCGAGAAAATCTTTTCAGAATCAGAATGTGTCTTTCATGTTATGACAACATTTGGTTTCTTCTTATATTATATAACCATTATTAAGTGCTTTCTTTGACTTTCTAATTTTTCTTCTTTATTTTTCTCTGAGAGAAAAGATCAAGAGATTGCTGCTCTCATAAGTGAAAATTGGGTATTTTAGGTGTCTTAACAATTTTCCTTTTTACATTCATGAAGATAGCCGCTTTCCATTAGTAGTACATTGCAGTTGTATATCTTGAATCAGCTCATTCCTAAAAATGATACGAGAAAAAATGGAGCAGGTTCATCGGGCATGTTTGAGTTCAAACCTACTAATGAAACAGTCTACGACAGGCAACGCAAAACTCAAACAGCTTTACAATTCTGATCATGGAGGAGACCAATTCCATTATGTGTATAAATGTACAATCATTGTTCATAAATTAGAACTACCATCTTGGAAATTTCACACAAAATATATATGAGTTGCAAATGTAGAATGTTGAAATTGGTTACCAAGAATCCCTGATGTGAACAGTCTCTTTATGCATTCTTCCATTGAGGTAGCCTTTGAACCACAACCTAAAACCAACAATTGCAAAGATAGAGACTCATTAGATATCTTATTTAACACTGTATCACTGAGAAACTTTGCTTGAGTTGCTCAAACCATATGACAGCGAATAATTCTTTAGCAAGAACATTTCTACTATTTTGTTTTAAACAAATTAAAATTTGGTAATTTTTCAAACAAATTCCAGTGACTTTTTTAAAGTTTGCATACTAAGCATCCTATTGGTAATACATTTGCCATCCTACAAAACAAAGAGTATGCATGCCATAAATGCCTAACTTTTACTTGTTCAAGGGTTAAGTCATGATGCATAGAAGTTAACATCAGTGTTGTCAAAGAGGGAATCAAGTTCCAACTCACTCGTTGACTGGGGATAATTTCTTTTCAACTTATTATGAAAGTAAGGGTTATGCTATCTCTTTTTCTCCTTCTTCTATTTTAGAAGGGTATAGACCAAAAGCTACATGCATAATCCATTTTCTAGGAGTTTCTGCATGAGGAATCTATCCACAGACTGATTTCATTCTGGTAGCAATATATAGCATACTCCCATCATTTGCAGGCGAAAGACAACAGCAAGTAAAATAGTTTCTGCATCATACCTTGCCGGAGTTCTCCTTATTTCCCACAATGGTTTGACAAGCAAGCCTCCAAGATTCTGGTTTCTGCACATTAGAATTGTGGTTTTCAAACAATAGACAAATTACCAAGACAGATCTTATATTAAGGATAATTCCCAACCCCACCACAAAAAAAAAAAAAAAACCCAAAAACCAAAAGGAAAAAGAAAAAATAATGCCAAAGTAATGCTTGCAGAGGGACACATTTATAGACTCTTCTCGTTTTAACAAGTGTCTTCTGGCATTGTGGTATAATCCACAGAAAGGTTTCTTAAAAGTGATCACTAACCAATTTTTGAGACTGATATATATTAGTAAGTGTCATGAAAGAAAATACTATACTGAGAGAAGAAAGCATGCCTTCTTGAGATACCGACGTTCTGTATTGGTTCTTTCATTCAAAAGATCTTTCCCGTCAACAATCTGCAAAGAGCATTAAAGAGACCACAAATCAATTGTGATAAAAATTTGATGCTTTAATCAAAATGAAACAACCTACATTAAGCTTCTATCATTATTAGCAAAAAGAAAGTCAGAAAAAAAACTTATACTAATTGAATAAGAGGATAAACTATTAGAACTTAATTAATTCATACCTCTACAATGCAAGTTCCACAGCTTCCACCACCTCCACAGTTCATCACTTTCCCCTAATCTCAAATTTTCAACTTAGGAACATTAAAAAAAGGGATCAAAACCAAAGCGTATGAAAAAAAAAAAAAATCAAATAGTAGTTCCATTTTTCAAAGCAACTTACATAAGCAGCATAGAGCTCAATCTTGTTATCCAACATGATGTTTCTGAGCAACTTTTCTCCACTTATTGCTTTAGCTTTATCCACTGGATACGACCCATCATTTCCTGGATTCGGCTGCCACATTTCACCATCATCAATAGTTAAAATTCCACAACTTAAGACTTCTGTAAAATAAAATAAAATAAAATAAAAAGGGTTTCATCTTTTTGCTTTTGATTGCAAACATAGTAGTACCCCAATAAATTCCAGCTCGATTTCAGGCTTTTCTGTTGTAGTTGGAGAATTGGTTTCAGGAGAACTGGTGGCCAATGTAACAGAAACATGTCTCTTCCTAGGAATAAAGATAGTTGGGTTCCTGTAACTGTTGTTGTTCCATGTAAATCCTGTTGGTTGGGGCGTTATGCTAGTTAAGTTCAGGGAAGCCATTTTTTTTTCTGTTACTTTCTGTTACCCAGATGTTCTTTCAAATTCTCCCATTCTCCTCTACCCTCTGGGACGGTTGACTCGTAACGTTTTGGGCCTCAAGTGCAGTGGTAGTATGGTAATTTTGGCAAGCTCTCTAGATTGTGGCCAGCATTCACTGGGCTTCAAATTTGTCCAAACTCTTTGGGCCTTTACCCAACAACAAAGACAACCGCTTAAACCCACCTTAAACCTCTGAAATTCTTTGAGAAAAGCCGGAGCAAAAAATGAAGGCTCTCCTCTTCAGGCGGCAACGCCGTTTTCTTCTTCTGAATATTCATCACTTCCAAAAGCACTTCTTCTCTGATCAATCATGGCTTTCCAAAAAAGGCAACCCTCTAATCAAGTGGCCATCGCCTTCTTCCTCTCCCTGCAACCAACCTCACCCAATTCCCCATCCTACTTTCTCGCAAAGCAATTTCTCCATCATCTCCAATCTCCTCAAAAACCCAACCATTACCTCCGGGTCGTCTCTCGAGTCCGCCCTGGACCAAACAGGGGTCGACCCAGATCCCGGCCTTCTCCAAGCAATATTCGAATACTTTGATTCTTCTCCAAAGTTGTTGCATCATTTGTTTCTCTGGGCTGAAAAGAAACCTGGGTTTAAATCCTCTGCCACTCTGTTTGACTCGATGGTCAATGTTCTTGGTAAAGCTAGGGAGTTTGAGGACGCGTGGAGTTTGATTCTTGATCGGATTGGCGATGGAATGGAGGGTTCCACTTTGGTTTCTGTTAATACTTTTGTGATTTTGATTAGACGGTACGCTCGCGCAGGTAATTTCCTTGACATTTTGCATAAAAAGCTTGGAACTTGTTTGTGCCTGGAAGTTTGATAGAGCAATATTACTTGCCTCCCCGTTCTATTTCTGTGTCAACTATCTGCATTACTGACATGCGCTTTAATTTTTCAATGTATTTAAGGGTACGGTGTAGCAATTGGCTGATGACTTTGCAAATCCATAAATAAGATACTGGATTTGGACTAGTAAATTACGCGTTATTATCCTATTTTGCCAGCACATATATGTACTCCTCTCATGTCCAATTAACTATACATATGAAAATTATTATTGAGCCGGTTTACTATTTGCTTTTGTTTTCAATTTATTCTTATTTTTTGTTTTTTCTTTTCTATTCATTTTAGGCCTTAAGCAATAACAGAAGCACCAACCAAATGGAATATAATTTACTTTTATGGATATGTGATAACCTAAGCATATAAACACGCTTCTGAAGCTCTTAAACTTCCCAATTGGTGTATAGGATAATGATTCGTAGATTATTTCCACATCTGGTGGGGGCTAATAGCTCGCATAGAAGTTTTAGGATGAATAACGTTTTCCCTTATGATAAGAGTACAAGACTGGGTTGGCTTCTACTCTCATGAAGATGCTTAACATTTTAAAAGTTGACCAATTTGGACATGTATTTTGAAATGCAACATTTGAATTTGGAATAGTTTAGTCTTATTCTCTTTGTTGTAGTTTTTATTGTGGTTTCACTCTTTGTATGTTGTAATGCTTGTAGACTTGTGGTGCTCACCTGCTTATTTTTGAACCTGTCATATTTGCATGTTGTATGACATTTAATTGGTCTGCAGTTTGAGTGGCAAAGCTTGCATTTTATTGTTCTTTTGGAACTAGTGATGCTTATGCAGTGAAAATTCATGCAGGTATGCCTCAGCCTGCTATTCGTACGTTTGAATTTGCAAAGAGTTTAGAACAAATTTGTAATTCTGATGAGGAAACAAACCTGTTTGAAACAATGTTGGATTCTCTTTGTAAAGAAGGACATGTTAGGGTGGCATCAGAATACCTCACTAGAAAAAAGGAAACAGATCATGGTTGGGTTCCATCAATCAAAGTTTATAACATACTATTAAATGGATGGTTTCGGTCAAGAAAGCTGAAACATGCAGAGAGACTTTGGTTGGATATGAAGAAGGACGGTGTCTTACCTAGTGTTGTAACATATGGTACCCTTGTAGAAGGATACTGTACAATGCGTTGTGTTGAAAGGGCAATTCAATTGGTGGATGAAATGAAAGGAGCGGGAATTGAGCCAAATGCGAAAGTATATAATCCAATTATTGATGCATTGGGGGAAGCAGGTAGGTTAAAGGAGGCATTGGGGATGATGGAACGGGTATTTTTGAGTGAATCAGGCCCCAATATTTCTATGTATAATTCTTTAGTGAAAGGTTATTGCAAGGCCAGAGATCTAGTAGGGGCTAGTAAAATACTTAAGATGATGATTAGCAGGGGTTTCATCCCAACCCCTACAACCTACAATTATTTCTTTAGGTACTTTTCGCAATTCAGGAAAATTGAGGAAGCAATGAATCTTTATACAAAGATGATTGAGTCTGGTCACACTCCAGATCGGCTTACTTACCATCTTTTGTTGAAGATGTTGTTTGAGGAGGAGAGGTTGGACTTGGCAGTTCAAATCAGCAAAGAAATGAGAGCAAGGGGATACGATGGGGACTTGGCTACTAGCACCATGCTGATTCATTTGCTTTGTAAAATACATAGGTTTGAAGATGCTTTTGGAGAGTTTGAGGACATGATACGGAGGGGTATGGCTCCACAATTCCTTACTTTCCAGAGAATGAATGATGAGTTAAAGAAAAGAGGAATGACTGACATGGCAAGTAAACTATGTGATATGATGAGTTCTGTCCGTTCTTCCAAAAAATTGCCCAATACATATGGTGGAGATGAGAACACATCACGAGCAAGGAGGACATCCATAATGCGAAAAGCTGAAGCGATGTCTGATATGCTAAAGACATGTAAGGATCCAAGAGAATTTGTTAAGCATAGAACTTTATCTGAAAATGCTGTATCAAGTGCTGGCCGGTTGATTGAGATTATCAAGGAGCTACAGAGACAACTATGAATAGTTAAGGCCTAAGAGCTAGAGAAAAGGCTTCAAGAAATTTTGATGCAAGTGGTGTTGGATGACTTCTGTTATCTGCCAGGGAACTTATTGGAAATTGATTATGGAGAATTCAGTTTTGTGATTGAGATGGTATGTGATACACTGATATGAAAGCTCGTGTAACTTTAACTATAAGATCATCAGCTGTCTGATGAAAATGATAGACCACTTGTATACGGCACATATTGGGATGTGGGGGACACAATGATAGAAAAAGGATCCACAAGCTGGAGGATCCCAATTGAATGTGTTAAACTCTTGCTATCTATTTGAAGTTGACTTGGAGGAAATTTTGAGGTGGCAATTACTTAGGACCATCTTTTCTTTTGTCAGTTTTTGCTACTTCATTTTCAAAGATTGAATTCCAAATCTATATTTTTGGATCTGGAATTTGCAACACAGAGGACAGGCTGAATAATGATTTGAGAAGAGCTACTGCATGTGGAATTCAGGTAATATATAAATTATACTTGATTATTCTAAATTGCGTAATCCTGTTATTTACATATATGGGTTTTCCCCTTCCCTCACTTTAAGAAAATGAGAATAAAACAACTTTTCGAATAGTGATACTTTCTTTTAAGCTTGGCATACATAATCAGTCGATGATGCTTCAATAAACCAAGTCAGCTAACAACACCTTTTCCTTAAGTTTAATTCTCTAGATTTCTTTCCCAAACTTATATGTATTTCTTTTTTCCAATGTAACTGTTATACATATTAGATACTAAAAGTATTTGCTCTCTTTTGCTTTGTAAAATTTGGGCCCCATTACATGCTCAAAGTGGTGAGGTCTCTTTTAAAATTTTGGCCCTATATAGACAAAACAGTTACCTACATTACATTTTCAACTTGATGGGCCCTGTTAGCTTGTTTATATGAATTGTCCTTGCATGATGGACCCTTTGAGGAGGAAAGGCTCCATAATCATAGGAATTGTTCATTTCTTTCTCAAACTTTGGCCCAACAAAAAGAGAACCTGTCCTGACTAAACAAATTTCTTTGACAGGGATTATGTAGTCTCAGGTGGTTTTAGAAAATACATTAAGTAAAGCTGCCAGAAACTGGGCATTGGAAGCTGGTTTTACTTCACTTCTGCATTGTGCCTTTGACAGATTATGTATTCAATGTATCAAGCGTTTTTCTGTTATGCAATGTGCAACTGTAGAAAATGGGAGCTATTTAGGCACCTAGTAAGATATGGTTATTAACCTTGGCATTTCAGTAATTACCTTTGCTTATTATGATACCCATTGATGTTCATGTTTCCTGATTTGGTGCTCCGTTGTCAACATTTTGTAAGTTAGCAACTATTTAGCAATCACACTTTAATTTAGTAGCTCCAAATGGCCAGTCTCAGAAAAGGGGTTTTTAGCAGACCTTGTGTTTTCCTGCTCCCTGCTGGGTGCCTGTTGAATGTTGAATCATATTTTGTGCAAGGCATGTGTATGTGTTAGTATTTTGGATTTAGTATTTGAGAGAAAAGTTTACGGAGATGTATCCTGTTTAGGGTTTTCTTTTTACCTTTTGAAACATTGAATGCAAAAAATATAGGAGTGAGTAAAGTCCAAGGCATGTCAAAAGATCAGAAATACCACCTTATTGTTTTTATTATTCACTAAGTGGACTTTGTGTATATACTTCTGAACTTAGTGTATTGCGCGGTTTGAACTGATTTCATTGCATCTCGTCTTGATTACACTTTGGTTTCTGTTGTGTTTGCTATAGCTCTAATTCTGAGTTCATCAATCGGCATCGGTTGTCGTGTTATCATTAACATCATGTATCTGCATCACACTACCGAGGGTGAAATTTGGAGTATGTGATACGCAATGCGCGTGGGGTCTGAGGTCCCATTGAAAGACTTTGACAAAAACATAAGGTCCATGCAGGAATATTTGAAGGGTGCAAGAAACACCAACTGCTTACACATAGGGTAACTTATTCCTTCAATCCAAGATGTGATGGCTTATTATTGGTGGGGTTTGATTGCCACATGAATTTCATCACTGATTCCTCTTATCGTCTAAAAGATTTTCAAGGTTGCCTGCTACGAACAGCTGTAGGCTAATGATATCTCCCCCTAAATAATTTATCATAGTTGTGGGCAAATGCTGGACTTGTACAAATTATTAGTCTGGGATTTGATTGTCGTGGTTTGTATTGTATTAACCTAGCTAACTAATTGTGATGTGGATGTTACATCTGATGTTATTGAGGTTTGGTTTGAAAGGGATCAGATTGTACTACTGTCTACAGGAAAACGATGTAGATCTTTCAGGAATTGACACCCAACAATTTGAATTTGAATTTGGTTTAAGGGTTCTTACCTCTATTCAAAAAGTTAGTAATCAATATGCTTAGCTCAGATGATATTTAGTGATGATGACTAAAAGATTTAAAGCCGAGGTCTTGCAATGATCATAATTAACAAATAACCCAAATGAATGAATAAATTATCGGAGGGTGGATACCCCTTGTAAAGCAAGATTAGCTGCCTCATCTTGTATGTATTACTTTATTTAGAAACTTAATATAAATATATATAAGACAAAGCCTCTAACGAATAAGGAAAAAATCATAGTGAAGGGTCTGTTATCTTGACAAATAGATTATCTAACTTGATGTCATGTCTTATATGTTGGAAGATCAAAATGATAATAATATATATATATTATATTTTTTAATTTCCAAACTCAATGAATTTAAAAATATGCATTAATTTTGTTAAATAATATTTTACAAAATTAAGAAAAAGAAAAACGGAATAGCCATTGTCCGCAACCAAGCATATCAGAATGTTTAATTCCTTTATTAGGTTATGTATGGTCCTAGTTATAATGTGGGCACCCATGTGTTGATAGTAACGTCTAAATTCTAAGGAGGCAAATGTACAGAGCATACCTCATTTCCAACCAACAAAATAATCCTTATTATAGCCATTCCAACGTGTCATTAATGAGACTAAAAAATGACAAAATTTTTAGGTTGGTGAGGAGATGATTACAACCTTTGTTTCATTTGAGTTCCTATCTCCATAAATATCAGATGCAACCAAATATCCTCTCCTCTCTTTGCATAAATATCTCAATGTACACCTTGTGAGACCCGCAGCAACAATGTAGCTTGGTTTTTTTTTTTCTTTTTTTAATTTCATGCACATAACTAGTTCATTTTTTTTAAAAAAAAAATAAGAGTCAATTTAAAATTCTAAATTCTGAAAATTTGGAATTAAATATTGAGATGATAGGAATGCATTGATTAAATAAAGGTAAAATATTTTAAAATTTTTAAATAAATTTTTTTATTATATTTAATTAAATTTTACATTTATATTTTAAATCAAATAAATTTTATATTTAACGGTCGATTAATTATTATTGATTAAAGTATTATTTTTCATTTTATATTATATGATACTGATATAATACATTAACATATTATTAAAGATAAGTATCGATTAATTTCGGTTTTGAAAAAATTAAAACTGACCAAATCAATACTCTAGGATGATTGAGCAAAGTCAATCGGTCATAATGAATAATCAATCAAACCATATCAACCACGGTTAGATTGGTTAACGAGGCTCACTTTTTGCATAAAGTTGAGCTATTAAGGCTAATTTTACCTTATAAATAAATGGGTAAGAAAGGGTAAGGAGGGTAGATGGGGCACGACGATGGCGGGAGGTAAAGCAGTAGATGACCAGTGAAGATGAGAGGGGAGGGTTTTTAATTTTAGGAGCTCTTCAGTCTAGGGTTTGAACTTTGAAAGAACGCCATCGATATCGGGGAGGGGGATGTGTATGAGGGAAAGAAAGGGAATTAATGAAGGCCCAAATTGGAATTCCCCCTCTCTCCATATATTAAAAATAATTAAAAATTAATCTTCGATATGCACTTGAACATTTAATTCACTAGTTAGTTCATTATCTACCTACTTAAAGAATAGGGTTTAAATCTCCCTTCTTCAATTATAAAAAAAAATTAATCTTCGATTTTTTAGTTAATTCGGAGAAGGAGGGAGGAGAGCCCCTGGCAACCGAACCAATTAGCTAAGGAAATCGATTGCCATGACTGACATTGAATAACTTACTTATTTAGGGTCGAAATTATTGGTTTCGATAAATTGTTCAATTACAACTAATCGGTGCATAGTCTTGCATGTTATAGTGAATAATGACGGAGTCAAGATTTCACCTTTGGGATGAAAATAATATTCATAAAATAGTCATACTATGAGTTCAATATTTAACAAAAATATAAAGTAATTTAGATGAAAAAAATTCATATGAAAATTATACAAATAAGCCTAGTTACGTGTTAAATTTAAAATAAAGATATTTTTTAACAATTATTACACATTAAGACTGGATAACTTTAATTAAGTTCGATCGTCTTTCATAAAGTTAAAGGCATTTATTATTAAATTAATATCAAAACTTTGAATGATTTCCTTTTTAATGAAAATAATCAATGAACTTATAAGAAAACTATTTAATATTCTATTACAAGTCTCGTTTTTAACGAATTTCATAACAAAAAATGTACATTATGATATTATAGTGAAAACTAAAAAAGTCCAAACAAGCCAAATCAATCCGTCAATGAGGAAGTAAATTTTTGATATTTTCATCTTTTTTAAAATTTGACATAACGTAAAAAATGTAGATACATTTTTTAAAACCTAATTATGAAAAATATCAAATTTAAATAGATCCAATTGATAGTTAAAATGCATTTTATCATGCTCAGTAAAGTAATCAAGGTAATATTTATTTGTAAGGTTACAAAAAATTTCAATATCAAATGATTTGAAATCATTATGAGGTTCCAGAGATATGTCAAGAATGAGCAACTCCACTACATTTTAATTAAATTTGAAATCCAATTCTTACAAGAGTGAGTCAATAATAACCAGAAATAAGTTAGCTCGACAATGGTGTTCAATTGTAATATGACTCTTTTGAAAATGACCTTTACTTAATTTATATCTAATTCTCATGTTAGGAATGTCAATTTCATATTTCTCATAAAATTATAAATTAATCCTATTAAAATTAGTTGTTGACTAATTGTTGTGATGCATCTCATTAAATAAAAAATTATTGTAAGGGAAAAATTATAAAATTTTTTAAAAAATAAAATTTTGTTAGAAAATTTTTAAAATTTTTATAAAGCTGAAATTGTAAAATTTCAAAAAAATAAAAATAAATTATAAAATTTTTAAAATTGTTGAAGGGTGAGGGCCTCCATTAGTTTTGATCTTTTCGTCTCAATAGTTGATGATATTACATGTTAATTAGATATGATAATATGATCATGATGTATTTTTTAATTTTTATTTCAGTACTATGTCAACGTCATATGATATAAAATGATAAATAATATTTTAAATTAATGATAATTAGTTAACAATTAATAATAAAAGACTTATTTAAATAGTTTAAGAATTTTTTTAATACATTATATCTTAAATAAAAAAAAAGAGTTATATGTAACCCAAAATCCAAAGAAATTTTATAAGTAAAAGAATTATAATTAGGTAAAGAAAACAAAGCTGGGCACCTGGGCATAGAGCAATGATACTAGACCAGGGGATACTAAACTTAAAACTCCTAAAGCACCGAAGAATCACCATACAAATAAAGGCAACTTTTCATGTATGGTTTGAGTAGCTCTGCCATTTCAGCATCAGGCAAGCTGATGTTTCAAACGTGGAAAACTGAAAGTAACACTTGTGTGGCTCAAATGGTAAAATAGATGGATAGAAACAGAGCTGTCACTTTCGGTTTTCCCTGTCTGAAAATCTTGAAGAGGAAATTTCAGGAAAGCATCTTTAAGCCTTAGCAACAAGTTATTCACATGCCCAAACCGTACAAATGGAAGACATAAGCTTATTGTGTTAGGGATTAATGGAAATGAATCATTTTTTTCAATCAATCAAACCCAATAAAATAATATATATATATATAACTGGCAATAATAATATTAATAAATAAATAAATAATCTTCTATTGATGATGATTCTGAAGGCACGATCTCATGAAGATATGATACTTAAGCTGAGTGATTTATGTACTGGTGAAGAAGAGTGAAGTGGCTGACACGAAGGCCGAAGTGGAGAAAAGGACGGCGAGGGGGTAATGGCAAATGGTAAGAGGCGAAGGTGGTGGGAGCAGTCAACAAATGTACTTGAAAGAGAATCAATGCCCCAATATTCATCCTATCGGACGCACCTTATTGCCCACAAAATCCTGCTTTGCACGTGTTTTGCTCTTAAACCCTGCATTTCCCTCCTTACTTTTCACTCCTCCCCAAAAACATTTGGTGGTTTCACTTGTGGGTTCTTTTGAGCTTTTCACCTTCCATTCACGATTAATGTTGTCTGAGTCAATATTCCCTCTTGAACTAATCTGGTCTTAATTGGTAATAGGGCATCATTAGTTGGGGTTTTGTTGTTTTAAGTCGAGTTTAAGAATTCATTAAAAAAATATAAATTCTCTTAAATAACCAATTACATTTAAAAAAATAAATTAAAATCAATTTATCTTTTACCATCTAACATATTGTATTGAAGTTGTGCTTTTACTTTTAAAAAATTTATTGAAATGAGATACTATAACTTTGATAACTTTGAGAGAACAAATACCTTGCTTCCTTATTTTACCTTTAAAAGATCTCTAAATATTACTACAACTTAATTTAACTATAGGCAAGTGGAAGATAATGTTCCTGTGTTAGCCAATCTCTCTATGTACATGGAGATTTTTAAAAGGGAGACAAGAAACAAAGTATTTCATTGAAAAATAAATAAACAAAGAGGAAAGAAGACAATTAAAATAGAGAAAATTAAGGATTTTATTTATTTTTCACCCTATCTATTTAAATTTATATCACATGAAATAAAAATAAAAGCTATGTAATTATTTTTCATATAAAAATATTTTTTTTATAATTAAGTTACAATGATTTAACATTTTTAATACAATGTTTGTCATACACACAACTTCCAAGAAATGAATGAAAGAGACATTCCTTAAATTCTTTTCATATTAATCATGCATATAAGTTGGTTTAGTTATGACATTTCCCAAGAATAAGGACTTAAGACCAAACTCCCCATTAATACTATAATATCTACAAAGAATGATTTGGAAACATTAAACAGACGTTGACAAATAACATTATTAGCTTTTGCACAAAATCTTAATCATTTCGATTTATTTTTTTAATTAATTATTATTGCAATTGATTTTGTTGCGGGAAAAAACATTCTCCATTCATTCCAAAACAATTAATTTACTTATTAAAATACAAACACTATCAATAATGTCTTCTTCATGTGGCGTACGAAATTTAATCAAAGATTTTAGAATTTAAAAGTAATATTATAAAGGTAAAAATACGTAAAATATTGTTAAAAAATTGAAAGCCATGTGTTGGATAATTATTTTGATAATAGGAAAGGAGTAGGAAATTGCAAGGAGCAGCCCATACCCTTGAACAGCTTTCAATAAAAGGCAAAATCTTTGTTGGGGGATGATTGCACAATTCACAAGAAGTATAGATCCCAACCAAACAAAATAAAAAGAGAACAAAGACCCAAGTTACCAAACCCCCTCCTCGTTGTTCACCTCTCTCACAGACACACACTCTCTCTCTTGTTATGTAAGAAAGAGATCACAAATTTGTTTATGCTGGAGAGCAAAACAACCCAACATTCAGACACTGGAAACAGAGAGAGTGGAAACCTTCCCTTCCAATAAAACCGAGAGCATAACAAAAAAGAAAAAAGAAAAAGGGTACCTTTTGCTTTTAAATGCTCCCTTTCTCTCTCTGTCTCTTAAAAAAGACTTTGATTCTGAGTTTTCTCGCCCCTCTCTCTTCTTCCTCTTTTATCCTTTTTAAAAAATCGTGCTGTCTTTTCTGAGTTTTTCTCTCTTTTCAACAAAGGAGCTGAGATAGGTGAGAAGCTAAGCTATGGTGGTGCAGCGACAGCGGAAGAATGATGATGATGACGTGGAGATGGTAAGGAAATGGCCGTACTAGAAATGACTCAACAAAGCAAAACTACCAGCACCAACAATGCCAACACTAACAACACCTCGACTCATTTGCAACACCAACAGCAAGTAAAGCCAACGATGTTTCACGATTTCCTGGGTATGAAAGCTACAGATTCCCATGTCGTTTTAGCCCCTAAGGCCACTGACGCAAGGTTTTCAGAGGCTTCCCCTTCTGCTTCGGCCTCTGTTGGTGCTTCTTCTGCTGGTGGTGGTGGTGTTGCCCGTGGGCCCATCTCTTCCACATCTGATCTGGGTTCTGGTTAGTTTCTCTCTCTTTTGCTTAAAGCTTTGTTTCTTTTTCTTTTTTTTCTTGTTTCATTTTTCAAAGCTGTAATGTAAATGGGGAAGTTTATGATTTTTGTTTTTGTGTTCTTTTACTTGAGTTTTTGGTTTCTTTTTTTTCTAAATTTTTTCTTCTCTTTTCCCTGTTGTTTTTGATAGGTGGTTTTCATATGAAAAACTCTCAGTATAATAGCTCATTAGGGAATGATGGAGTGTGGAAAGTAGGATTCTTGCTGTCTATTTGATAAGTAGTTTTGATTTTGGATTTTGGTCTCTTCTTGAGGCTTAAAAAGGTTGATTTAGCTGCTGAAGTAGCAAGCCTTTTCTCTTATGGTTGGAGTTGGTGTCTTCATGATGGATTAGTTTTGTGAGGTCAGCAATGGGGTTGGTAGCTCCTCTCCTAGGTCATCCCTTCTCTCTTCGTATTTTATTTTCTTTGATTTTTTTTCATTATTTAACTATGGGGTAGACAGCTATGTAAATAGGGGGGTATGGTTTCAAATTCAGTGGAGAATTTTAAAGTTCTCTAATTTATGTCTGCTTTTTTAAGGTAGGTGTAGCCGTTATGGTGTGTGATGACTTTATCTACTCAACGCTGCTGTACGATGTCGTAGTTCTTTACTTAATGTTGCCATCTCTTGTGGGTAAAAGGCATTGATGCGTCTATGCTACGAGTTTTTATAACTCCTCTGAAGCAGCAACATTTAGTTAAGCATTACGTGTCGCTGGTTAGCTGTTGTACATTTGCTCATAATAACCAGCTTTTTACCTCAGCATGTTGACATTCCAATCTTCAAGCTTGTTTCTTGTAATTATACTGCTCAGATGGCAAGATGTTTGAACTTTGAAAGTACTCATATTTTCTGAATTGGGATTCTACCTGTCACAATTAAAGTTGATTCATTTTCTCATCAATTAGTAGAAAGACAAGTCGGGAATCATCTTGAGGGCATTCCATACTATGGCCCAAGGAGTGAAATATCTGGGCCCGAGATAAGCAACAGATTGGTAGGAAGTAAGAGAGGTAATTCAGATTCAGCCTTTATGGGTCATGAATCTCTTGACAGCTTGCATTTGATGAAGGTATCCGTCATGATCTTATCATGTTTTACCTTTCCCTTCTCTAATGAAAGAGAAGCTCCATATGTTGTTAGTCATTTATATTTACTAAATATTTCTTTATATTTGTACTCAGATGCTTCGTAATGGGGCTGGGGGAGAGCGTTCCAGAAGGTCCAATGAGGATGAAGTGTTTGTTGGTATGCAGTCAATGAGGCCTTCTTCTGCATCTCTTATATTACAGCCCCCCACTGGTAGCAGACCTGAAGGAAATGCTTCCAAATGGGAGCGGTCTGTCCCCATGATAGGCTCCGCAGTTCAGTATGGTCCACGTGGTGGTCACTTTGTGCCTTTTGTGCATCAAGCATCTTCACATAGGTTCAAGGATACAAATGTTGGTCCTTCTGTTATCTCTCAGTCGGCTGCTGATGAAGGTTCTAGAACTGGAATTAAAGGCCCTGGAATTTTGAGTTCTATTAATACTAGTGGTATTCCCACTGAAAAAAACTCATCTGGGGTAGTGCCAAGTGGGGCCAGACCAAAGTCGGGGGCACATATTTCAGATCCAGAGTCTTCAGTTCCTCCAAGGTGAATTTAATATATTCTTTGTATCTTGTTTCTGACTGTTTTGCTCTTGAAAGAATAATATATATATATATATATATATATATATAATGAATGCTGTATTTTCTGTTGTGGTGACAGTCGACAAGGATTAACATCAGCCAGCCGACAAATGACTATTTTTTATGCTGGTCAGGCTCATGTCTTTGATGATGTGCATCCAAACAAGGTTGGTTTTCTTGTTGTTTGCAGTGGACCTCAAGTTCTTTTTTAATTTCAATTTTTTTCTACAAAGCTTGTGTTGCGTGCTTAATAAATACTTCTATCTGGTTCACGTATTTCATCTAATTGAATTTTTAGGTATAGATCACCTAGGGTAGGTTGCAGTTACATGATATAATCCATAGAATTGCAAAAGCAACTAGGTTTCAGATTTCTCTGTTGCTCATTGAGTCAGTGTACGAGAGTACCATCAAGCTTAACATCATAATAATATCAGACTTGCATCGTCCAACTTAACTATGTGTAATGGAGCTTCGAAGTTCGCACGAAGTTTGATACATCATCTTGTCATCAGAAACATGAGATGAGATTGGTTCTTTTGATATCCACAATGGCTTGGAGAAGAGGAAGAATGAACCTGTGATTTGTTCTTTCTCCAGAATATGTTGTTGATTCATGTAGTTGGTTTAGGGTGACATAAATTGACAAACTTGATCAAAATATCAAATGATAGAATGTTGTTTTTTTACCGATATAGGATGATTAACAAAATACAATTTCCAAATTTAGAAGCTTGACATTTATATTCAGGAGTTCTTTTACTTAGGCATGATAATCCAAGAAGTTGAATAAAGCTCCTGTTCCTGTTGCTCTTGTCATAAACCTGAGTTTATGCAATCCACACTCTAGCAAATGGAACTACTAATGTTCCTTGGACACATCACATATGGTTACCATAAAGGCCAGAGATGGAGGACGGCTGCCTAAGTTTTAAGTATGTAGAGCAAGTTCTTGGGATATGGAAAGGTTGCAAATACGTAAAAAGGATGTGTTGGAGATGACAAAGAGGACGATTGGAACAGTCCTTGAAGTATTAAGTGCTGTGATAGAGAGAAAGCATAGTGTTGGCACAAGATGGAGAATAAAGCGAAGAAAAGCTAGGTAAAAGAGGATTTGAGAGGCAATATTTAGAGAGATAGAGAGAGCAAAGAGTGAAAGTTTATCTGTCTTTGCCCAAGAAATCTTGTTTTGCCAAAATAAATTGTCAAAGCATCTATGTATAAAGCAAGAAGAAACAGTTACTCAAGAACATGCTTTAATGCACATGATGAGTAACAATAAAGAAAGGAGTTTTAATCTACATATTCACTAATAATTATTGGTGTAATGAAACTTATTTTTGAGTAAAAGGTAAGAGAGAAAAACACTTTTACTTTAGAAAATGGTTAAGAGGAATACTTCTTAACTATCTTCATATTTGAGCCATCAAGCTGAGCCCTTTGGAACATATCAAGGTTGAAACAAACTTGCGAGCCGTGCAACTTGTACCAAATTACACTCATTGTTGTCCAAGTAATGTAGCTGTTCTACTTGTTCTGTTTGTTCTCATACTATATAAAGTGTTAAGCTTGTTGTAAAACAACTTTTAGAGAAATAAGTTGGTAGCCAAAATCAAACATCTACATTTTGTCCCCTACATGAGAATTCTTGACATGAGAGGTTCTTATGCATTGTTTGTTATATAAAAGTGAATTATAAAGTGACTTATAAAAAATAAATTTAATGCTTGACTTAAGGAAAAGTTATATATATTGTGTTGTAATGTCCTGTGTGTGGCAATATACCGATGCGGCATGTATGCCTTGCTTGATGGCATGCTAATACCTTGTGTATGGCTTCAAACCTATGTCTTGCACACTGCATTGATTCTTTTTGCGTACATCTCTAATGCTTCTTTCTTGTCTCTGTGGCAATATTTTTTTTTGTGTATTTCTATCTTTGTTGCCCTTGCATGGAAATTAGTTTATTTAAAATAATACATTTTCCATACATTAGGAAAACAATGGGAAAAAAGGAATTTTAAAGTTAATCTTCAAAGGAAAGAAAATCTTTTCCATCTATGCCTTATAACCACAAGGCTTTTGTAAATTTTTTTTTCTAATTCAAATTAAAGCATTCTTTCTGTAATCTCTTTGAGCAAGTAAGGTTTCTTTCATCTTCTTCTCTTTCGCTCTCTTTTTTTTTCCTATTATTATTTGATTAAAACGTAAAAAAAAAAGAAATTACTTTCTTTGATCCAAAATCATTAAGATCCTTTTTTGTGTTGGATTTTTTTTTCTAAATTTTGAATCATTAGTTTTTCTTGAGCTTGCTCTATAAGGTCTTTTTTGTTTGTAGAAGTTTTTGCATGTAGGTGCGCAAGGGTTCTTATGATGAGGAAAGGTAGAGTTGCAAATAAGTAAAAGAAAGTGTTAGAGACAACAGAGAGGAAGACTGGAGTAGCCCTTCAAGTATTGTGTGTCATAGCGGTTTTAGGAAAATATAGATAGATAAAGTGTAGTGGTGGCACAAGATAGAAAATAAGGTGAAGAAAAGTTAAGTAGAAAAGGATTTAGAAGGAAATACTTAGAGAGAATTAGTAGTGAGTCTATTTGCCTCTTCTTGATAAATCTTGTTTTGCCAAAATGAATTGTCAAAGCTCCAGATATAGAGCAGAAAGTAACAACTACTCAATAACACATTTTAATGCACACGATAGAGTAACAATACTGAAAAGAGCGTTAATGCATGTAATGGGCAACTCTTATTGAAAGGAGTTTTAATGTACATAATGAGTAACAGATATTGAAATCTCATTATGTCCCATTATGTGACCGAGAGTGAGTAGTGGACTTTTTTAAAGGATAACTATTAATGATGTAATGAGACTTTTTCTCGAGTAAAAGGGAAAAGGTAAAAGGTAAGAGCGAAAAATACTTGGTACTTTGAGAAAGGTTAAAAATAATATCTCCTAACTATTTCCATATTTGAGTCACCAAGTCAAAACTTTCCAAAATGATGAAACTAACTAGCAAACCTTGCCACTTATTCTTGGTAAAAAGTAAGAGCAAAAAACACTTGTACTTTAAGAAAGGTTAAAACTAAAATCTCCTAACTATTTTTATATTTGAGTTACTAAGCCCAACTTTCCAGAACATTTTAAGGATGAAACTAACCCACAAACCTTCCCATTTGTTCCAGGTTACTTTCACTTTGTCCACGTGATATATTTGTTTTACTTGTTCTGGTTGTTCTCCTTGCTCTTTGCATTATGCTTGCGGTAAAAGAAGTCTTGGGAAAATAATAATTTAGTAGTCAAATCAAGCATTTACACAAACCTTTCTTTTGGTGAAAATTTAGAAAATAGGGCTTTGTTGGGCTTTGTATATGCAGATTTTGCTATCTATTTGGGATAGATTAATGTTGGCCATGAACTAAGGAATATATAAGCTCATATTTATATTCTTTTGAGGACCTGTAGTTACTTTGATTATTGAGAAATTGAGATTTTGATTTGAAAACTGAAGATTGTCAGATACTTAAGAATTTGAATGCAACTGGATATTCCATAGTTTCTTTCGCTGAAGTTTCCTTTTTCACTCAATTTTCTGTCTTTGAGATGTTGGTGCTAAGTCAGTGGACTTGCCTTTAAAAGAATACATGGTTGAATCAGTGTGAAGTTGTCTTGACTTGTATTATTCCCTTCCCTCTCTTTTGAGGTGATATAGAAGACGATTGCATTTCTGTTTTTTTGGGAGTCATATATGTTCTCATATGAAAAAGATTACTTTGTCTTGAAAGCCTGGTATCATTTGTTACTGTAGAAGATTTTAATTAAGATTGTAATTGCTGCAACTTTTGATCTGCTCATTTGAGTTACTTTGCTGTGGTTATGTTGTCAGTTATGCTTTGTTGTTATTCACTGGCTTATACTATGGGTGGGTCATCTCTGCTAATCACTGTGATGAGCTCCACTTGGAGCAATATTTCTCTGGTATTTGAGCTACAGGAAGTCAACAAAGTTTTTATGATTTTAGTTTTTGACATTTGAAAAGGGTTGGTTTTCAGCTGCATTGCTCTTCACTGCTTCAAATGTGATGCTTGCTGACCATACATAATCATAAGGAATGTGATTTGATGGGAAATACTCTAATGATTCTTCAACTTTCTTGATAGAGGAGGAATGCATGTTGTTATAGGGGACTGAAAATCCATTCTTATGGTTGGATCTATTTTTCTTGGGGAAGTTTGTTTTTTTTTTTTTGTGCATAGTGTACTGATTTAAAATTATTTACTGTTGTGTCGCTTCAGGAACAATTAGCTTTTGGTATAACAACAAATTGCTGTCCGCTATTTTTTCCTATGTATCAATTAATACCTGTTTTGTAAATTTGCTGTTTTACGTTGTTGTTTGGCCTCACTCTAATCTTCCTATCTCTCTTTGATAATTAATTTTGTTTAATTGTATTAGATGTTTCTTGTCCACTATTTTATTTAACATTCTCTTAATTTGACTTGTTCTGGTCAGAGGCTCTGGATTTATTTCTTATTCAACGGTGGAAAAGGCACTGCTGCATATTAATCATGAGCTCTTCCCTATATTCCAAAATCTTTCACCAACTTGTGATGCTAACAAAATTTAGCTTAGTTTTGCTGTTACACCTTTTCATATTTGTAGTATTTGGAGCATGATTATCTTGCCCCCACTGTTCTTTACTCTCCCAGTTTTCTGCACCATTCCTTGTGGTTGCGAGTTCCCTGCTGAGTTATTTAAAATCTACATGTAATTAGGTGGTAAAGCTGCGCATATTGTGGAGCAGTTGTTTTTGTAGGCCTTGTTCAATTACTCCTGTTCATCATAATGTTAGTTATTTTGGTGAGTGATTATACATACTTTCCTTTTCAAATTTAAATTGCCATAGGACCTATTACTGTTTTATTTCTAAAATTACTTGGTGCTTTTATAAAAGTGGAGTGGCTCTCTGATAAAACATAGTTGAGCATCTATCTTCAGGTATAATGTCAGAACAAAATGAGTTGCTGAGAATGAGGAAGCGATGTTTCTAATCCACTTCTAATGTTGTTATTGTATGCTACTGCATTGAAGGATCATAGCTGAACACATCCATACTATGGTTCTTGTCACTTTTCTGGTTTTCACCGGGTTCTTTGTATGTCGTATTACATGTCAAGCATCCTGTAGCTTGAATTTCTTATTCTTAATATACATTTGTTGTCTTGACCACCGTTTGCTGCATGGTCATTTCAGGCAGATGTCATAATGGCATTGGCAGGATCAAATGGAGGATCTTGGTCAACAACGTACTCTCCTAAATCTGCTGTGAAGCCAGTTAGCGAAAATTATGCACCTGGTGAGGAACCTGAAGCAGTGGGTAGCATGATGTTCTCACGGGAATTTAGAGGGAGGATAGCTGTTGCTGGTAATACTAGTCAAGGAACTGGTTCTGGTGAACGAATCTCAAAACAAACAGGTGATCCTTCAACTTCCTCGCGGCTATGTAGTTTATTGGTTTCCATTTTAGTTGCAATGGTATGTTTCAGTGGTTTCTCAAGCATGACATAAAAAACATGTTCTGTTGTCTCTCCAACTCCAAATGAGTTGGCCTCTTTTTGCATTAAATAGTCGATCATGTACGCATAAAGGCAATCAGCACAGGATTCAGATATGATTCTGCAATCGATAAGAGTTGTTCTTTTTCTGTAAGGGGAATTGATAGGAAATGCTCTACTTTAGTATACTTATTACTTTATAAAATGTAGGGGTTCCTCAAGGCACCGTTGTTATTGCGAAAGATGCAAGAAACCCAGTTCAAGCAGCAGAACCTAGTGCCGAAGATAAAAGAGAGGTATGAAGTCAAGGGAGTTGGGAATAGCTTCAAATCTATGAGCAGACATGTTAGGAAGAATGAGCTGTTCCTTCTCTACTGGCATCAATGCTTCAGCTTCTTTTTTCTGATTTTCTTGCATTATCATTTTTAGAAGTAAAGAGAAGGTGGGTGGTTTGGGGGAGATGGGGTACTACTGTTTTGTTTATAGAGGAGACAATTGGATCATCAATTAACCATCAGGTGAAGATATTTTTAAGCTTCCCATGCTCTTAATTTACCTTTTGTTAGTCTGAAGTTCAAAATGCTATAGGTGATTTAGCCTCTTTTAACTCACATTTTAATTTTTGATGTTCACAATTTCTAAAACTCTGAATAATTAACACGATGTTAACTGCATCTTTTCGTGTATATCTATGTATCGATTTCATTTCGGCACTTAAACCCTTCTCTAAATCAAAGGACATGGATAACAAAAAGAAACCATATATCCAACATGGCGATTAACCTAATGTGTATGGATCAGTTGTAATAAAAAATAGGTATGGATCCCTTATTTCTTGGTATAATACTACTTGGAAATGGACCTTGAATTATCTTTTAAAAGATTAAATTAAATTATTATTTTTTATCAAATTGTTATATTTTTTAGTTTTGATTATATAAGTTTTTATGATTAATAATTGATTGATTAATTAATTAAAATATTATTTTTTATTTTTTATTTATCCGTTTTTATATTAATAATTTATAAACTTAGGAGCAGGTGTCAAGTTATGTAATACAAAAACTATATGCAAAAAAAAAAAAAAAAAAAA